GTAGGGAAATTTGAATGTAAAGGAGTAGTTTGAAGTCCTGCCAAGGTCTTTAAGTGGAATCATTTGTGAATACAGATTGCATCAGATTTTTTCTCATAGTTTTTCTGGTTGTCCTTACTAAACATATTTCCTTTTCCTATTCTGGAAGCTAGAGCTTTTTGGTAGAAAAAAACTAAGGCCCTGAAGAATGGGTAAGTTAAAAGCTACAGAATCTTAGCCCTCTTGCCTCTTGAGAAAAATGTGTGTCTAAAACTAAATGTGAAGCAACGAAGACCCAATGCGGCCAAAAATAAATAAATAAACAACATAAATTAAAAAAAATTTTTTTTAACTCTAAATTTAGGAGTAAAAATGTACTTCTTATGTAATCTTTTTAATTCCTGCTTCTGTCTTGAACTCTTTTTTATTCTTTAGTAGATTTGCCAAATTAAATTGAGATTTGCGGTGATTGTCCCTCACCTTGCCCTTTGTTAGAGCTCCTTCATCTCTTCTCATATTTGTGTTTGTCTTCCTGGGTGGACTGGAGCTGCAACTGAGTTGGATTTCTGATTCCTGATTTCCAGCACAGTGCCTTACTGACAGTGCTCACTAATGGTTTGTTGTTAATGTGAAATTTAAAAACAAACTCTGCTATCCCCAGAGGAGTGGAGGGAAGATTTGGGCATGGGTCATAAAAGCCAGATTAGTCCTCAGTCTTGTTCTGTGTGGTAACAGAGAATGAAGCTTCAAATAAGTGACTCAGGGACTTCTCTAGTGGCACAGTGGTTAAGAATCCGCCTGTCAATGCAGGGGACGCGGGTTCGATCCCTGGTCCGGGAAGATCCCACATGCCGCGGAGCAACTAAGCCTGTGCACCACAGCTACTGAGCCTGCGCTCTGGAGCCCATGCCACAAAAGAATCCGCCTGTCAATGCAGGGGACGCGGGTTCGATCCCTGGTCCGGGAAGATCCCACATGCCGCGGAGCAACTAAGCCTGTGCACCACAGCTACTGAGCCTGCGCTCTGGAGCCAGCATGCCACAACTACTGAGCCTGCGTCCCGAAACTACTGAAGCCCGTGTGCCTAACATGCTCTGCAACAAGAAGAAGCCACCGCAATGAGAAGCCCACGCACTGCAACTAAGAGTAGCCCCCACTCCCCGCACAACACAGCCATAAATAAATAAATAAATAAAACAAATAAATAAAACAAATAAGTGGGTCAGAGTTACAGTGAAACAGGTTTCAGTTCATGATAAGGAAGACCTGCGACAATTCAGCCTCAGGAGGAATTGGTTTTCTTGAGCCATTAAGAATAATTCGCTCATTTTCATTCACTGCCTTGTTCCCACACTCCTGTACTTTAATGGAAGGCATCCTAGGGAAGTTGTGTGGTAAAAGAATTAATTCAGAAATCAAGCAGACCTGGGCTTTTGTTCTGGGGCTGGTCACTTAGCACCTGAACCTTAGCCCAATTACTTTAAACCTAATTTCTTCATTTGTGATAATAGAATTATTAGTAGCTACAAACTATATAGTCCTTACTTTGTACAAGTGTTCCTTAACTGGATTATCTCATTTAGTTCTCACACCCACTGCCTGGAGATAGGTACTATTATCACCATCCCCATTTTGGGGAGGGGAAGCAAATTCAGAGGGGTTAAGTAATGTACCCAAATTCATTCAGCTAATAAAGGGTGGGGCTGAGGATTAAAGGCCAAGCATTTAATCCTGTTACATTACACTATATTACATGACATCTATAAAAGGGAGCTGTCTCCCTGCATGAAGTCTGATAAATACTAGCTGCTCTGGTGAGTGTTTTTTTTTTTTTTTTTTGAATTTAAAAAAGAATTTATTTATTTATTTTTGGCTGCATTGGGTCTTCATTGCTTCACGCAGGCTTTTCTTTAGTTACGGCGAGCAGGGGCTACTCTTCTTTGCAGTGCGCAGGCTTCTCATTGCGGTGGCTTCTCTTGTTGTGGAGCACGGGCTCTAGGTGCACGGGCTTCAGTAGTTGTGGCACGGGCGCTCAGTAGTTGTGGTGCATGGGCTTAGTTGCTCCGCAGCATGTGGGATCTTCCTGGACCAGGGCTCGAACCTGCGTCCCCTGCACTGGCAGGTGGGTTCCTAACCACTGCGCCACCAGGGAAGCCCTACTCTGGTGAGTTTTCAGTGCCACTCTGTCTTTATTCTTGTCTGGCTTCACCTTTTCATATAATCTGAGAGGTGAGACTATTACTTGGTATACATGAAGTCAAAAAGATAATTTTTTTCTTTCTTTTTTTTTTTCACGGTATGCGGGCCTCTCACTGTTGTGGACTCTCCAGTTGCGGAGCACGGGCTCTGTTCGCGCAGGCCCAGCAGCCATGGCTCGTGGGCCCAGCTGCTCTGCGGCATGTGGGATCTTCCCAGGCCGGGGCACGAACCCGTGTCCCCTGCATCGGCAGGCAGACTCTCAACCACTGCGCCACAGGGAAGCCCTAAAAAGATAATTTGAGGTGGTGTCGCTCCTAAGTCAAAGTGAAGACTCTTCTACTGATTGGATTTACTCACGTCAGATTCATATCTCATTTTCCTGGAGAGTGTGAAGTATAGCCAGTCAAACCTCTGACTCTCTCTTTGCTAGGGTCCATATAATCCAAATACTCTTATTTGACGTAGCTTTCCAGTTTATTAGTTTTCAGATTCCTTAGTTACAACTGTCAACCATTCCTTTCTTGGTCTGATTTGCTTTGTGCGTTCTCCAATATCAGCCCTTCAGAATGAGTTGTTTAATGTAATGGATAGCTCATCCTTTACATTACATATATTTTTTCTTATGGAAAATTTCCATTATGGAAAACAATAAGTTTAGGAAACTGTTTAAGAGGAAAAGATCACTTACAACCTTTTTTTTTTTCTTCCTGTGTTTTTTTTTTAAATGCACATGAATTTTTATTTGAGCTCAAAGGGGTGTGATTTTACATCCTGGTTTTTCACGTAATATATTGCAAGAAAATGTGATGGTATTACACATTAGATGTGAGGACCCACTTTTTTTCTTTTTTCTCCATTTTTAATTTTTTTGGCCACACTGCACGGCTTGCAGGATCTTCGTTTGAACCTGGGCCCAGGGCAGTGAAAGAAAGCCCTGAGTCCTAACAACTGGATGGCCAGGGAATTCCCATGAGGTCCCACTTTTGTGATTATTCCTCATTCATCCATTGCAAAGATTGCCCTCCTGGTATGAGGCAGATACTGCCCTGGCAGTGCAGGCTGTTGGGTTCCAAAGTTCAGTGGGAGAGAATTTACTCAGGGCTAGCCTTGCTCTGTGGAGGTCGCCTGCTCAAGTGCCCCAAGAGCTCAGAATGGCTACATCTCCATCAGAACCACCAATAGCCCCTCAAGATAAATTTTACTCATATAGAAAATGACCACCAATTCCAGTACCAAAAGGCTCGATAAAGAATTGGGAAAATATATCAATAAGTTGTCAGAATGTACTCAAGAATGGGTAGAAATATAAATAAATCAAAAAATATGTAAATAGATCAAAGAATGAATAAATAGATCTTTCTTGTCCAGCCTTCAAAAGTAGGGCCAGAAATCAGCATTCAGATTTTGTTCGCTTCCTTTGTAGCACTTAAAATTCATAGCAGTTACAGCTTGCAGTTAAGTCATTTGTCTGTTTACTGGCTACATTTTTGTTTTCCCCCAGTAGACTGGAGGCTTTATGAGGCCAGGAACTGTGTCTCTTCTGGTCTTGATGACTGTTTTCCTAAATAATCTCTCAGCAGGTATTTGTTGCAAATGATTAAATTTAGTTCTGAGAGTGATTGTTTTTTTGGTGTTCTGAGAGGTGCCCCTTATAGGTGAATTTTTGGTAAGCAGTGTTGAGGGAGGGTCTCCTTACAGTTCCAGAGACTACAGGATGCTGCATAATAGAGAAGGAGGAACAGTGGAGGACACACCTGTGTTAGGATGAGGGCAGGAGTAAAGGAGGGCGCTGACAGGGTTTCCTGGAGCTTTGTGTTTTGAATAATGCCTGTTTGTCTTTTCTGTGTAGTGAGTGTTACTCCACTCTGGGCAGACTTTGCCTAAGTTTCATAAATTTTAATTGGCTTTTTCAGGAGAATAAAGGCAGCCCCCGTTGATGACTGAAAATGACAAAGCATCCACCTAACAGACGAGGAATCAGCTTTGAAGTGGGAGCCCAGTTGGAAGCCCGGGACCGATTAAAAAACTGGTACTTTTACATTTTTCTGTTAATTAAATCCCTTCAGTAAAGGACTTTTGCCAGCACTGATAAAGAGGGGTAGCCTGGGCTTTTCTGTAGTGTTTTCCTGCTCCTTGACTCTTGGAAGGTGGAAGGAGACTTAAGTCTAGAGCTGTGGAATGTCCTTTGTCTTTGCTGCCGGGATCCCTGTGTCAAGGGGACCATCCTGTTACATTTGTTTCCCTTCTCTGCCTGTTCATCTGAAGGAGTTATGGGAAGAAGAAGCAGGAGTGGCTGCAGGGAAGGGAAGATTAATAGTGGCAGCTCTCTTGCTCTTGGCTGCCTGTCTGAAAGATCAGGGATGGAAGAATGAAGAAAAGGGGTTAGATTGGAACAGCTTGTGTGTTGTGAACAAGTCCTGTTTTCTGGGTGTGTTGTTGTACAGTTGAAACTCAGTCATCACATTTTAGGGATGATTAGATTCAGAGGCTGAGAGGTTGTAGTCCCGAATTTGTCATTCACTTGTGAACCCTGGCTGGTGATTAACCACTTTGAGCATCAGCTTCCTCTATAAATGTGGGTACTAGTAATATTGACCTCACAGACTTTTTTCTGAGAATCAAATAATAGGATATGTTGGAAACGGCCTTATAAACTGTAAAATGATGGTTGTTGTTGAGGATATCCTAGAATTTAGTCATTTGTTAAGGTGAAAGTGGGAGTTTCAGAACTCAAACCTTTCTGTGAATTTTCATAAGGAAGAGTATAGTGCTCTTGAGGGTTATCTCAAAATAGGCTGACCAGCTCCTGGGATGTAGAAAGAGAAGATGGGAAGGGAAGCAGGGGAAATGCCTGGGGTAGAAAGTGTCTCTGCTGCCTTTTGGGGCTGAGAGATTTGATATAAAAATTAGAGACACTTTGAACACCTAGTTGTTTTTAGGCTGTTTGTATTTCTATAATTATTTCCCTTTTTTGGTTTCCCTCAGTATATATATATATATATTTTTGCGGTATGCGGGCCTCTCACTGCTGTGGCCTCTCCCGTTGGGGAGCACTGGCTCCGGACGCGCAGGCTCAGTGGCCATGGCTCACGGGCCCAGCCGCTCCATGGCATGTGGGATCTTCCCAGACTGGGGTACGAACCCATGTCCCCTGCATCAGCAGGCAGACTCTCAACCACTGCGCCACCAGGGAAGCCCCTCAGTATTTTTTTAAGGCAGCTTAATCAAGAGAAAGAATTGTTTTTAAATTTGGGGGGAAAAAATAAAATACAGAAAAAGTTTAAAAGTACAGCTAACTATAAAATAATCTGTGTACTTATCACTCGGAATTACTGAATATTAACACTTCTGTTTTACTTATATTTAAAATAATGAAGGACATAAAACGTTTCTGGTATAATGGAAGTACCTTTTATACCCTTCCCAATTCAATTCCCCTCCTGCATTCCTTAGAGGCAACGAGCGTCCGGTAGTTAGTTCTGTCCATGTTTTACATTTTTACTGTATGTATCCATAAATAATACTAGTTAGCATCGCTTTGGGTATTTTTTAAAAATTCCTATAAGTGGTCTCATTGTTTCTCTCCTGTATTTCATGTTTTTGTGATTTATCCATATTGATATGACATATTCATCCTAATTTCTTATTTATTTATTTATTTTTGGCTGTGTTGGGTCTTCGTTGCTGCATGCGGGCTTTCTCTAGTTGCGGAGAGGCTACTCTTCATTGCGGTGTGTGGGCTTCTCATTGCAGTGGCTTCTCTTGTTGTGCCTCTAGGCGTGTGGGCTCAGTAGTTGTGGCCGCGGGCTCTAGAGTGCAGGCTCATTAATTGTGGTGCATGGGCTTAGTTGCTCCGCAGTATGTGGGATCTTCCTGGACCAGGGCTCAAACCTGTGTCCCCTGCGTTGGCAGGTGGATTCTTAACCACTGCACCACCAGGGAGGTCCTGTGTGCAAGTTTCTATGTGGACATAACTTTTCAACTCATTTGGGTAAATACTAAAGAGTGTGATTACTGGATCATATGGTAAGAGTATGTTTAATTCTGCAAGAAACTACCAAATTGTCTTTCAAAGTGGCTGTACCATTTGGCATTTCTTCCACCTAGGAATGAGAGTTCATGTTGTTCCACATCCTTGACAGTATTTGGTGTTGTCAGTGTTTTGGGTTTTGGGCATTAAAACAGGTATATAGTGGTATCTCATTGTTATTTGAATTTGCGATTCTCTATTGAAATATGTCGAATATATTTTCATATACTTATTTGCCATCTGTATATTTCTTTGGTGAGGTATCTGTTAAGGTCTTTTGTCCATCTTTTAATTGGTTGGTTGTTGCTTTTCTTTTTTTGTTGGTTGTGTTCTTATTGTTGAGTTTTAAGAGTTCTTCGTATACTTTGGATAACAGTTCTTTATCAGATGTTTCTTTTGTAAGTATATGGGATTTAAGGCCATGAGACTGGATGAGCTTTCTAGGGCTGCACTGTCCAAAAAAGTAGCCACTAGCCACAAGTAGCTATTTACATAAAATTAATTCAGTTCCTTAGTCACCCTAGGCACATTTCCAGCGCTCAGTGGCTAGTGGCTACTGTATTGGAGAATGGAGACATAGAAAATTTCCACTGAGAAGGTTCCATTGGACAGTGCTGATTTAGGGAGTCAATATAGATAAAAAGGAGGATTGAGCCCTGGTGCCTTCCAGTGTCTAGATGTTAGATGAAGAGGAACCAGCAGAAGAAACTGGGAAGGAGTGACCGCTGAGGCAGGAGGAAGTCCATGGAGGTGTCTAGAGCAGCGGTCCCCAACCTTTTTGGCACCAGGGACCGGTTTCGTGGCAGACAATTTTTCCACAGATCCGGGTCGGGGAGGGGGCAATGGTTCAGGTGGTAATGGGAGCAATGGGGAGCGGCAGAAAAAGCTTCACTCACCAGTCTGCCACTCACCTCCTGCTGTGCAGCCCGGTTCCTAACAGGCTTCGGATGGTAACGGGGCGGGGGAGGGGTGGGGGGACATAACCCCTGCTCTAGAGGACAAGTGGAAAAGGTGTTTCAAGAAGCAGGGAGTAGGGCTTCCCTGGTGGCGCAGTGGTTGAGAGTCCGCCTGCTGATGCAGGGGACATGGGTTTGTGCCCCGGTCTGGGAAGATCCCACATGCCATGGAGTGGCTGGCCCCGTGAGCCATGGCCGCTGAGCCTGCGCGTCCGGAGCCTGTGCTCCACAACGGGACAGGCCACAGCAGTGAGAGGCCCGCAAACCGCAAATTAAAAAAAAAAAAAAAAATAGAAGCAGGGAGTAATCACTTCAATCTTCTGATGCTGGTAGGTCACATAAAATGAGGATTGAGTGACTCTTGACTTGGTTACATCAAGGGTGTAGATGACCTTGACAAGAATTGTTTTCTTTTTTTTTTTTTTTTATTTTGCGGTTTGCGGGCCTCTCACTGCTGTGGCCTGTCCCGTTGTGGAGCACAGGCTCCGGACGCGCAGGCGCAGGGGCCATGGCTCACAGGGCCAGCCGCTCTGCGGCATGTGGGATCCTCCCGGACCGGGGGACGAACCCGTGTCCCCTGCGTCGGCAGGCGGACTCTCAACCACTGCGCCACCAGGGAAGCCCGACAAGAATTGTTTTAATGGAGCAGTGGGGACAAAAACCCTGATTGGCATGGGTTCAAGGAAAACAGGAGAGAAGGAACTGTGGTGTGATGCAAAGTGGGAGGAATTGGCCATTGATAGGAGCAGATAGTTCATTTATTATAAGGGGAAGAGGGAAACTGGGTATATAGGTAGAGATGAAGGTTTACTTGTAGAGTTGGTGATGGGAGCATGTGCTTTTTGTATTTTTAAATTGAGGTATAATTTACAAACAGTAAAATTCACTCTTTTCAGCATACAATTCCATGAAGTTTGCCAAACTCATACAGTCATTCATGCATGCACCACCATAATCAAAATGTAGCATTTTTATCACCCCACAAAGTTGACTTGTGTTCATTTGTAGTCAACCTCTCCTGCAGCCTCCAGCCCTTGTCACCTACTGATCCGTCCTCTGTCCATATAGTTTTGCCTTTTCCAGAATGTCATATAAATGGAGTCATGCAATATGTAGCCTTTTAAGTTTGGCTTCTTTCACTTACAGTGCATTTGAGATTCATCCATATTTTTGTATGAATCAGTAGTTCCTTTTATTGCTGAGTAGAATTAAATCATATGGATGTATAGTTTATTTACCTGTTTGAAGAAATGAATTGTTTCCAGTTTTTGGTGACTATGAATGAACATGAATACAGGTTTTGTGAGAACGTAAGTTTTCATTTTTCTTGGATAAATATCAAGATTGCTGGGTCATATGTTAAGTGTGTGTTTGACTTGATGAGAAACTGCTGAACTGTTTTCCAGTGTGGCTGTTCCATTTTGCATATCCACCAGCAAAGTATGAGAGTCCCAGTTACTCTGTATCTTTGCCAGCCCTTAGGAATTCTTTTCTTTCCCTCTTTTTTAGTTTTTATTTTTAAAATTGAAATATAATTTACATACCATTCTCTCTTTTAAAGCATACAAATCAGTGGTTTTTAGTATATTCACATAGTTGTACAACCATCACCGCTCTCTGATTCCAGAACATTTTCATCACCCCCAAAAGAAACCTCATATCTATTAGCAGTCACTTCCCTTAGTTCTCTCTAGCCCGAGGCAACCACTAATATACTTTCTGTCTCTGTAGATTTGCCTATTGTGGGCGTTTCATAGAAACCAAATCAAATAATACATGTTCCTTTGTGACTGGCTTCTTTCACTTAACATGGTATTTTCAACATTCATTTGTGTTATAGCATATATCAACATTCTTTCTCATGGATGAATAATATTCCATATATGGATATACCATATTTTGTTTATCCATTCATCAGTTGATAAATATTTGTATCATTTTCACTTTTTGGCTATTGTGAATAATGCTTTTATGAGCATTTGTGTATGAGTTTTAGTGTGGACCTATGTTTTCATATCTCTTGGATATCTACCTAAGAGTGAA